GTTCTTCCTACGGACCTACCTTCTTACTTTGATATAGGGATGATATGAACCGACCATAAGCCTCCCTGTGGTTGCTGGAAAATAACTTTACGCAGGGAATGTATTCCTTTAAAAAGTCTTAAAGATAAGAAAGATAAGAAATACAAGGTAAGATAAAGATAAATATTAAAATGATAAGATAAAAAGGATGTAAAGAATATATGTGTGTGTGTAATAACTTGATAAAATATTTGATGTAAAGTCATTTTCTATAAAAGCTCGAAGAATCAAGAAGTATATTCCCTTCATGAAAATATTTTCGGGTGCCAAACAGTTGAAAATTTACCTAATGAAATATTTCCATATCAGTATGGTGCTCCGTAACTGTTTTCCATGGAAAATGTTACTTGTAGAAAATAATTTCACAAGTTACATAACTTACATCTACTGATGTATTGTAATGTTAATGCAACAAAAAATAAGGAAAAGCACAGCCAACCAAAGAAAATGACTTCTTATGAAAAGGGGAATCCTTTGTTCAATCAGAGCAGAGTCAAGGATAATAGTTTCCTACTTCCAACCCTAAGAATATTTTTTCTTTAATATCCAGAATGACATCAATGAGAAGGAACTAAATGCACTGAAGGCTGTGATAAAATGCATTGAGGACCATAAGCTTGAGGATCACTACCCTGTGGGCGCACTCCAAAAACGACTTCTTCAACTGGAGAAAGCAAAGGCAGTCAACAAAAGAGGAACAGAAGTTGCAAAACCCCAACCAAAAAGACCCCGTGCTAACTGTTTTGTAAACGGGCCCCGATTCTCCAACAATGCCAATGAGAAGAACTATCCAAGAATGACTGACAGGTACCCGCAGTATGTTTATGACAGACCATATGCTTACACCGGACTGACCGAAACCCACGGTCCCACGTTCATGGGCACTCCAGCTTACGGAATTTCTGTGCATGCAAACTTCTTTGGGCATGGGTACCATTACCAGACTCCTTACCTGCACTAATCAAAAGCTGTTTTATATGCTTTTAAACCCCTCCCTGAGTTTGCCTAATTTGAAAACTCTGTGAGCAACTGGTATTAATACTTGAGATGCTATAGCTTTGTTAATTTGTAATATGTTGTAATTGCTAATACTTTGATCCTTAAATATGTACTGTGTTGTGGTATGTTCTTATAATTCAATATGATGAATGCATTCCCACTGTTTAAATGCTCTCAGTGTTTTCCAATTTCCAGTCCACAAATTTCAAGTTTGAACTTAGCATAACGTCCTCGTATGTTACCAATATTTTTCAAAAATATTTGGTGTACACATGATTAATACATGTTTCGTACATTTGTTTGTATCACAGCCTCAGAGAGTCAGGCTGACACAAAAACAGGCTCACAGTACAAAATTTTCAAAACAGTTTGTTTTCTTAGACAAATCGCTTATGACACGGAAAAATTGTCCCTAACCGGCTGACACCAAAATGGGTATGAATGTCATTTTCCACAATTTTATGTACTTTTAAGCGTGTCAAAGTTTTTTGAAAGGTTTGAAATATTTTAATGCTCTGTCAAGTTTTGGTACATTTGACCATATTTGGTCATATTGCTACAATGTTTGGTGTAAAATTAAGCCAACATGGAGACATGGATGGTACCTTTTTCTAAAAGTTAGCTTGATTATACACCTTAGAAGTTGTTCTGTTCGTCTTAATCTTATTGCTTATTCTTATTTTATTCAGATCAGATCAGAAAAATTCAAATCAGATTAGATCAGAAAGATTCAGATCAGATTAGAATAATTCAGATCAGATCAGATCAGAAACATTCAGATCAGATCAGGAACATTCAGACATGATTTATCCCTTTTATCATAATAATAATTATAATAATATTAATAATAATAATAATAATAATTATTATTATTATTAATATTATGATTATTATTATTATTATCATCATCATTATTACTATGATTACTATGATTATTATTATTATGATATTTATTATTATCATGATTATTATTATTATTCTTATTACTATTATGGTTGTTATTGTTATTAGTTTTTTTGTTATTATTATATTACACGGAGTAATTACTATTAAAATTATACAAATAAATATTATAATTATGATTAAAATTGTAATTATAGAAATAATTATAACTAATAATATAATTACAATTATAATTATAGCTTTTTTTTTGTTTACACCAAGAGGCGTCTGGGGGAGGAGGTCTGGGGGCTGAAGTAAACTAGGTTGAAACTCACCCCATTGAGTTTCGAACCCGAGACCTCCCATAAGGGAGAGTGAGTCGGCGACCAGCTGAGCTGGACCGCTTCTTCTAATTATAGCTATATTCATAACTATTGTAATACATACTACGTATAATAATAATTATACCTATTATAATTATTATTATAATTATAATTATATTTTTTATAATTATGATTATAATTACATTTAAATTATATATGTATAATTACATTTGTAATTATAATAATTAAAATTAAAATTATAATTATAATTTTAGAAATATTTAAATCAGATCAGATCATAAGGATTCAGATCAGATCAGATCAGGAACATTCAGATCAGATCAGGAACATTCAGATCAGATCAGACCAGATCAGAAAGATTCAGATCAGATCAGATCAAATTGGAAAAATTCAGATCAGATCAGATCAGAACTTAAAAAATTCAGATCAGAAACATTCAGATCAGGTGAAAAGAACAGCTTCTTAGAAGCTGTTCTGTTCGTCTTAATCTTATTACTTATTGCTTATTCTTATTTTATTCAGATCAGATCAGATCATATCAGAAAAATTCAGATCAGATCAGATCAGATCAGAAAGATTCAGATCAGATCAGAATCATTCAGATCAGATCAGAAAGATTCAGATCAGATCAGGAACATTCAGATCAGATCAGGAACATTCAGGCCAGATCAGAAAAGTTCAGACATGATTTATTTTTTCTATTATAATAATAATTATAATAATATTTATAATAATTATAATAAATATAATAATTATATTATTATTCTTGTTGTTGGTATTGTAATTATTATAATTAATATTATTATTGATATTATTATTAATATTATTATTATTATTATTATTATTATTATTGTTATTATTATTATTATTATTATTATTATTATTATTCTTATTCTTATTATTATTATTATTATTATTATTATTATTATTATTATTATTATTATTATTATTATTATTATTATTATATTTATTATTATCATGATTATTATTATTCTTACTACTAATATGGTTGTTGTTGTTATTGTTATTAGTTTTGTTTTCGTTATTATCAGATTATACGGAGTAATTACAATTAAAATTATAGAAATAAATATTATAATTATAATTAAAATAATTATAGAAATAAATATAACTATAAATATAATTACAATTATAATTATAACAATATTTATAACTAGTGCAATACGTATAATAATAATTATACCTATTACAATTATGTTTGTAATTATAATTATAATTTTTATAATTATGATTATAATTATAATAATATTTAAATTTTATATGTGTAATTACATTTATAATTATAGTAATTATAATTGTAATTATAATTTTAGAAATATTCAAATCAGATCAGATCAGAAAGATTCAGATCAGATCAGAAGGATTCAGATCAAATCAGAAACATTCAGATCAGATCAGGAACATTCAAATCAGATCAGGAACATTCAGATCAGATCAGAAAGATTCAGATCAGATCAGATCAAAAAAATTCAGATCAGATCAGATCAGAACTTAAAAAATTCAGATCAGAAACATTCAGATCAAGTGAAGAGAACAGCTTCTTAGTCTTACTATGTCCTATAATCCTCCCTAGTCCCTACGACCCTACTTATATTATACGTAGTACTCGGTAACTTATAGTTAGCTTGATTAATTCAAAATTTATTACAGAATAATATTCTTATTAAACATTTTCAAACTTTTTAAATGTTGCAACACTTTAACTTTTACATGGTTTACTTCGACAGTATGGCCACATTTTATTTATTATTATGATAAAATTTATATTAAGAAGTATAAAAACTATACAAATCATCTTTGAGTTTTCCCTTTTATTTTTACTAATAGCCAATTGCATATATTTTCCGACTCCATAGGATTCTGTTAATGATTAAAATCGTTTGTTCGCAATCGTGAACGTATAAAGTGTTAGCAATTAAATAAAAACATATATACTGCCCAGTTTGTAAAACAAGTTTTTCTGTACTACTTGTAATAAAAGTAATGTTTCCTCCATACTCCATAGTAATGTTTCCCTCTATTTGTAATAAAAGTAAATGTATGCCCGATCTACTACTTTTTTTCTAAATAAATCTGTGTCATGTAATTTCACGTTTTGTGTAACATGTCAATTAGGGCTTGGGAGCGAAGTAGCGAACAATTTTGTGATACTATGTTAATGGGAACAATTCGGTTCACCCTTCTTTGGATGAGGGAGAACAAAACCCTGATTTAGATGGTTAATAATTTGCTGCTGTGGCAGCTATTTTTTTTTTTCAAATGCTATACTTTTTCATTTATGTTCACTTTTATTAAGAAAAAATGTAAAGTTAAACATTTTTTACAATCTTTCATAGGATAACAATAATACATATGTAAAATATCAAGAAAACCATTAGAAACTTGTCAAAAGTAATACGTAGTAGTTCTTTTTAAATCTTATATATGATTACATAAATATTGGTGTCATGAAAGATTATAAAAATGATTTAACTTTATGTAATTTCATATAAAAAGTGTACATAAGTGAAAAAGATATTGGAGTAGCATTTTAGATATAAAACAAATTATTGGCTAGCCAAAGGAGGCTTATGTTCACCCTCATTTAAGAACAATGATCGATCCTAATTTTGAACCACCTGAATCTGGTCGACAATAAAGAAACCAAATAAGAACTCCAAGTCGGGTAGACCTGACTTGGAATTTGGGTTGGTTTCTACCCAATTTCTAAGCCTACTCGAAAAATGGGAAGAACTTGGGGTGCATAAAAATAGGTTTTGGAATTAGGAGAAATGAATTGTTTTTCTTCCCAACAAATCATGTTGAAATGAATAAAAGGAAGCCATGATAAGTTTTCACTAATCATTAAAATCAATTTACACTTGCTCCAGCTTGGTTTCTGTTTCCATGGCTGTCTTGCAGAAGTAAGCCAGGAATTCTGTATTTCCTTCAGCCCCTTTCAACGGGGATTCAATCCAGCCTTTGCAGTGGAAGCCATAATCTTTCACTCCACTTATGATCTTCTCTACGACCTTGTTCAATAAAAGAGAGAGCCTCACAGTCTTATAGCATTTAGTCTAGCATTGAAGTGAACTATTTAGATTTAAAACAAGAAACAAAATGTATATACCTCTTGATGGACCAATGGATCCCTTACTATTCCGCCACCCCCAACCTACAAAGACCCAAAACCCATTCAGTTTGAGTAATTCTGTGTGCCGCCATTCAGAAAAAGGTTGCCCATTTGACTTAACAAACTTATCTAGAGCAGTGAACATTTGTGGTCGAGATTTATACACAGGACAGAGAAATAATATGTACCCACACATAATTCAAGGAAAGAAAAACTTATTTTGGGACATAAAAGGAAGGAAAACCCCTTTTCCTCAAGATTAGCATGCATACATATGTTTGTATTTGTCTCACATTGGTGATTGGACTCATAAAATATTAAATTAAGAGGCCGTTTTGTACCCCTATTTTCAGCTTAACGGCCTTATGAGCAATTTTTTCCCAAACACAAATTTTAAATCCATGAACTGAATTGTGTAATAACAAAAATCAAGTAAGGTTGGAGTCACATTTCTGGCTGATGTTACTGTAGAGAACCATTTTAACTATTTTCATATAATTTTTTATTTATTTGATTAGTAACATATATTTTAGGGAAAACTATCACATAGGTCCTTGTACTACAGCGAAAATGGCAATTGAGTCCTCGTACTATAGAATCGTTCAATCAAGGATGTTTTTACTTGGACTGTAATTTGCTGGTCTGGTCTGATTTCTTTGTATTTTTATAACTATCCAAGTCTGGTCTGGGACGAATTACAGTTCAAGTAAAAACATCCCAAGTCCTCAAACTTTAAGAAAACGGTCAATTTTGCTTTTTAGTGAGTTAAATACCGGTTATCCGGTCACTCTCTTACGTGGCCAATCTGTTGACTTTAATTTTTTCATTTAAGCATGTGACAAGGCTGAGTCACGTATCATCTTCATCCTCACGTCTGCCACATACCATCTTCGTCCCCTAGTGCATACTGAGATCATACAAGATGTGATCTTATATCTTACCATCGGTGTTGTCGCTAGCGCTGTCGTCGGCCGACAGTTGTGCCACCGCCCAGGCCGGGTGCAAGTCTTAGCTTGTACGTACACCTCCAAAGTCCAAACTGTGAAGAAGAGCCACCAACAAACCAATCAAAGTTAATTAGTTCCCATTCCACCCTGCCTGAGCCGGGTACAAAACCAGAGGAGCCTCCTGGAATACTTCCGGCGGTGGTCTCAAACCGGCAAATCCAGCTTCAGTACCAGCCCCGGAATCCGATGGACAAGGACCACCACCAAATGCCCTCCAAAGCTAGACCTGTACGCACTTCGGGCACTTCCAGTCTGTCCTCAAAACGAGATAAACCACCGCTGCCAAGGTTGAGTGCAGTGCAGCAGGAAATTAAAGTCTTCTTGACACGTGGCTCACCACATCAGCCATTACCGGCATAATGGGTATATAACCAGCTAAAATACCTGATTGAATATTATTTAATAGTTTGGGGACTTGATTGGGTGGCTTAATAGTAGGACATAATTGACTTTTTCACTATAGTGCAAGGACTTATTTGATAGTTTTCCCAATATTTTAAGTATATTTTTCCATAATTCAACTGATTCAGCTATTTCAGCCGTTTCGGTCAGGATTTCATCAATTTTAGTCGATTCAATCAATTTTTCAGCTGTTTCGGTCAGAATTTCATCAATTTTAGTCGATTCAATCAATTTCAGTGTCACCAATCGTTCTCTACTATAAAATATCTCCAACTACTCCTATCATGTTTACTTTTTAGAATGGAATCTAAATCTTAAAATATTATCACAGTCGGCCCACTTGCTATAATTGTTTTTTGTTTGTTTTGCAGTCATGATTTAGGACTTTAGGTGGTTCATTACTCATTTATCCACCCCTCAAATTGTTCACATGAGGATACATGTTGAAGTATGCCTCACACAGATCAAGTAAAATAGAACCATAAATCTTAATATATAGCTTACTTGGGATCTTCGCGCCTCAAACTGAGGTTTAATCAAAGTAACTAGTGACGCTTCTTCCTTCATCAAATTGACCACAGATGGCATGACCTGAGGCACCGTAGGAGAAAATGGATCAATTCAAAACCAAGCAATAAACATGATTTCATTACAATCATGGTAAATCACAAAGGAGTGTAATGTGTTGCTCAACGCTAATTGAGTCTATCAAAACAGCAATAAAATGTAATGTGGGGCCCTCCAACACCCAAACAAAAACAAAATGAAGGCATGCCAAGTCAAAGAACCTTACCAGAAGTATTGAAATAAAGGAGAGATCCAAAGTCACCAAATCAACCTTTTGTGGGAGTTCAGATAGGTATCTCAGGTTTGTCCTCTCTATAACACTTACACGTTGATCCTTGCGGATTTTGTCAGCAACCTGAGCAAGCAGTACGAATGTACCTATTAGTAGCTCACACAATAGAAGCCAATATCTGCATTCTCATGTAAACTAAAACAAATACATAGTATAAAAGTAATACCTGGCCATATCCTACATCAACTCCATAAATAAAAGCAGCACCATACTGCAGTAAGCAATCTGTAAACCCTCCTGTTGACAAGCCAGAGTCTAGAGCTACCTTTCCAACTACATCCACCCCCAGTTGCTCAATAGCAGCTTCTAACTTATGTCCACCTCTGCAAATCCAGTAAATAAACTACTAGTGTACCACGGTCTATGCAAATCAATGACAATTCTGATTAGATGCAAATAAAGTCCATACCACAATCAAAATTTAGCAAACGCTATACTAATACACACATGTCACAAATCACGTGTATATGATTTCCATATTATGAAGATTGAAGAATATTTAAGTTCCAAAAAAAGTTTCATCTTTAAAGGTTGAAATGAATTTCCATTTGAAAATTCTTTACTTTCTATACGTAGCTAGCACACAACAAGTCAAGAAATAACACTGTTACACTGAAGTACTACGATTTTTTTTAAGTTTTAGCCTTTTAGGCCTTAGCTGAGGTAACAAATTAGTAAAATCCTTCATGTGGCATTCAGACCAAACTACTAGTTCATGTATACCATTCCAAATTATAAAAATAAAAACGTCACATTGTCCAAGCAATGAAACACTATATAAGCTAAAATATCATCAAATGTAAAAGAATAGCATAAAGCTATAATGCAAAAGTACGTAAGTAACGTAACAGGTTTTACAACTACTCCAGAATCTGAAGAGATGTTGTTTATGAACAAAGAAAGATGAAAACAGTACATATTCACCTACATACATATTTTGGGACTTCAGCTATAATCTCCACAGTAGCTTTGTCAGGGATTGGGGTTCCTGCTTTGTTTACAACTTTACCATCTACGAGCACCTTCCCTGCAGGGTGAGAGGAATAACCTCAAATTGTAACTTTGTTCATAGAAATGAGATTGAAAATTTACAAACTGGCAGTTGAAAGAATCACTTATCATCAAAAAAAATTATATAGCTGCCTGAGAATACACCAGTGAATGAATAATGTGCAACGCCTACCTTGCAGAATCCACGATTGTATAAATGTTCGACTATATTGTTGGTATCTCTCGACGCATATTTCATCTAGTCTCTTCTTCCTGTAAAAAAACCATTCTGTTTTCAAACACAAACTCCCTAACGATGAAAGTTCATTAAAATCTACAGAGTAGTAAACATTTCCATTTAAAAAAGTGTAGTTACTTCTTCTGACCCTTTGCCGATGTTGCAGAAGCAAAACCCTGAGACATGGAAACCTTTATTCCCATCAATTTACCTTAGAAAGTAAACATGAAAGAGACCAAGATCAGATAAATTATTTTCTTAACTTCCTGCGGATTATTGACAAGGATAGAGTAATTGAAATACGAACCGGGAAACCGAGGAACTACTTTGGATTTGGAGAAGGAATTAAAGCTGCTATTTCTCGAGCTGAATGCGAAAAAGGTGCATATGGGTTGTTTCAGCATCTGAAACCCCATTGTTTGCTTCCCCCACCGTCCAACTGCAGGCGATGAAGGGCAACAAGTAGGACTGACTGACTGACTGAGCAAAACCCGAAGTTTTTTTCGGATAATATTAGAACCGAAATGAATATCTGATTAGTATTGGGCCTAGATCGGGTGGCGGGTAGGGTTTGTAAAATCCCAACCCGACCCGCCCGAATATGCGAAATATATTAGTGTGTACTTTGAATATGTTAAATTAATACTTGTGTTCAATTATTTGTGTAAATTTGTACAATTTATGTTAAATTATTTTTGTAATTTGAATGTGTAGTACACTAGTGTGTACAATTTTTGTGAAAGTGACATTCCAACACTTCAATTATCCGATTATAATGTGTTTTAATATAACCGAAATATTCGAAATATATTAAATTATGTAGTGTGTACTTTGAATATGTTAAATTAATACGTGTGTTCAATTATTTGTGTAATTATTTATGCAATTTGTATTAAATTATTTGCGTAATTTGAATGTTTGGTGCACTAGTTTGTAGTTATTTTGTCAAAGGGGCATTCAAACACTTTAATTATCCAATTATAATTTTTTTAATATAACCGAAATATCCGAAACCCGATCCGATATCCGATAATATCCGACTTACAAATATCCGAAAAACCCGATTTGAAATATCAAAAGGGTCGGGCCTAGTATTTAACTTAAAAAACCCGAACGGATTTAAGGTACGCAGACCCGACCCGCCCGAACCCGTACCCGACCCATGCTCAGCCCTAGCAACAAGTGCTAGAGAGGCGTTTAGCTCCTTCTATTACTAACACAGGTGAAGTAAACACCCCATGTATTAATTAAGAGAAAAAAAAAGCAGAAAAAGCCATGTGGATGGAACCGTCAAAACCCCTTGTATTAATTAAGGAGTGCTTAAAAAGCCGCTTACTAAGCATACCACCCTATGTATTAATTAGGATGTTTTTACTTGGACTGTAATTTGCTGGTCTGGTCTGATCTGGTCTGGTCTGGTCTGAACTGATCTGGTCTGGTCTGGTAAGGTCTGGTTTCTTTGTATTTTTATAACTATCCAAGTCTGGTCTGGTCTGGTCTGGTCTGGTCTGGTCTGGTCTGGTCTGGGGCAAATTACAGTCCAAGTAAAAACATCCTTAAGCGGCATCTTTTTCAGTTTCCGAATTTACCTCTTGCCCTTACCCTATAATTGCCTCTACCCGCTACAACCACCCAGCCCAACCCTACTACCTCAAATCCCGATCTCACCCTATCCACTACCTTCATCCTCGTACCTTACCCCTTACCCTCTTCCCTACCCTACCCCCACCCGACCCACCCTAACCTACACTACATACCTCGGTCCCACCCCGATCCCGAACCCCACCCCTATCGCCATCTACCCCTACCCCCAACCCCACCCCCTACTCCCCCTTACCTCGGCCACCCCAATCTCGGCCCCACCCCTACCGCTATCCTACCCTAACCCTTACCCTACCTTACCCCAACCCCACCCTGCCCTACCCTACTCCCCGGCACCACCCTGATCCCGACCCCACCCCATCACCATCTACCCTATCCCCTACCTTACCCCGACCCCACCCTACTACACCCCTACCCCACCCTACTACACCCTACCCCCTACCACATGCTCCTACCTCGGCCCCCTGATCCCGACCCCACCTTATCGCCATCCTACCCCCTTACCCTACCTTACCCCGACCTCATCCCACCCCCACCCCTACAACATGCCCCTACCTCGGCCCACCCCAATCCCAGCCCCACCTTACCGCTCATCCCTACCCTTACCCTACCCTACCCTAACCCCTACCTCGGCCCGATCCCGACCCCAACCTATTGCCATCTACCTTACCCCTACCCTACATTACCTCACCCCACCCTACGCCCTACCACATGCTCCTACCTCGGCCCCACACCGAGACCCTACCCTGCCCCTGCCATCCCTTACCACTAACCACGACCCTACCCCATTCCCTACCACTTGCCCCTACCTTGGCCCAAACCCAATCCCAACACCACACCACCCCCTACCGTCTGTCAACCTCGGCCCCCACCACATGCCCCTACCTCAGTCTCACCCCAATTCCGACCCCACCCTTCCGCCATCCTACCCCCACTCACCCCCTATCGTGGTAAGGGTAGGGTATAGGTCAAGGGTGTGGAATGGGGGGTAGGTTGTAGGGTAGGGATAAGGGTGGAGGTAAGGGTTAGGGGTATAGGGCAGGGTAAGGGTTAGGGGTATGGGTACATGTACGAGGTGACCCCGCATATTATATTATATACTCGTGTTCATGAATGTTTGTGCGTCTATATATGTATAGAGTTATTTTGGACATTTTAATGTTAAACGGTGTTTTAAACCCTATGAGTAAGCACGATCTTACAACATTGCTTATTTTATGCGCCGCTTATTAACGCGGGTCTTAATAAGCACCGTTTAGTAACCCGTGAAGTAAACATGTCCTAGGGCTTGAATTATTGGTTGCAGGCTTGCCGGTTTATGAAGAATCGGCTTTTAAACTGGTATTTTGGCACTTGGGCGGTTGAGTCCGTTCATCAGCCCGCAAGCTGATTCTTTTTTTTTTTTTGGAAGAATTCAGCTTATATTGATAACAGACAATTCAGAGTATGAGTACAATGACAAAAAAAAAAGTGACAACCGTTGTCCCGCGAACCAGACTCAGAATTAATCACCTCCAAAAAAGCAATATAATTCGATGATCCATAAATGGGAACCCAAGAGCCAAGAATGGTGACCGTATTCCTCTCATCCCCACATCCAAAAACAACGTCTTACAAACAGAAACACTAAGGAAAAAAATAAACAGCAGAAAAGAAATAACAATCACCGAAAAAGCAAACTAAACAAAAAATAAAAGTCTTCTGTCGCAGCCAGCAAACTCGAACAGTCCCCGCCGAGCTGATTCTCTATTTATGTAGCTGCTACTCCCTTCATATTTTAATATTTGTTACTTTTTCTACAATTTATTTTCTCTTTCATTCTTTTCACATTCTATCATACTTTTTCTGCGTTATTCAATATTTCTACTATTTTCAGTGTTAAATGTTGTGTACAAATATGGAGGGTGTATTTTATTTTCACTTTTGGTTAGGCATTTTCTTCTTTTGGCTAATCCGGCAGGGGTGATGTAATTACACTTTTCAATTTTTTTTTGCTATCTTAGTTATAAATAGTGTGAATAAAACTATCAATAATGCTAAAGGTACCCCAATTTATACCCCTACCCTATTTTTGTGGCTCACAAAAGCAGCTTACTAAAGTGGAGCAGTTCATTTATTGAAGTGGGCTTTTGTGATACACAAAAATATGTTGGGGTATAAATTGGGGTACAAAATAGGACACCTATAGCAGGGTTGTAAAATTATACTCCCTCCGTCCCGTTAAGATTGTCTCATATCAAATTTGGCAAATTTGTGTGACTATAAACTATTCCTACTTTATTCTTACTTTATCAATTCAATATCAACCACATAAATTACTTTTTATTAGTTTTCTTGACACCCCCCTCTTGTCCCATTTTTAGTGGGACGGAGGGAGTACAGAAATAGATAGTCTAGTCAAACAATTATGTGTTTCTAATTTAAAACCAACGGATATAGAAAAACAATTATATGTTTCTAATTCAATCATTGTTCTGTTTTTTTTTTAGCATATATCTTCTAAATTCTTGAAGTATTATGTCGTAAATCAATTAAAATATTGCAATTAAATAATTTAAATATGAATAAATGATGAAATACAAATGAAATTCATGATAAGTGCAATCATTTGTGAGGTCCCATAAAATTAATCTATTTATTTCATTATTTAAAATGTGTTGCTCCTTCCAATTAATAATTGAATTAATGTCGGAAATATGGGTGTTAATCGACCGAGTCAATAAAGAAAGACTGAATTCGATTTGAAAAATAAAGGGAAATAGTCAAATAGACCCTTATATTAATTTTAAGAAGAATTCCACTTATGATCCTTCGAGTTTTGCATCAATTCCACTTATGGTACCCGACTATTGTTTTCTTGACCATATAAAGTCCTTTTCCGGTAGTAAAAATGCCCAGAGATGGATCGAAAATGGTCAAGAAAACAATAGTGATGTACTAAAAATGGATAAAGTGAAAGAAGGGGACTAAATATGAAAATGACACAAAACTCGGATGACCTAAAGTGGAATTAATTCTTAATTTTAATTCCTCACTTATGTTTCTTTAGTACAAAAAGTATCATCTAAATATGCTTACTTTGAAAAGTCTATAAAGCAAATTTATTTGATGGAGTATATTCACATACACCTCAGAGGTATCAAACATTCACAAACAAAGAGTTTCCAGAACACCAAGTCGGTATTCCGTCGAGGTCGACCTCGACCCACACGAGGTCGGCCCAACATTAGGCCCCCAGATTATCAAGATAAGATCGAATCCGAGGTCGACCCCAGTCGAGATCGGCGCCAGATCCTACCTCGTGTACAAACTCGAAGTCAACTAAAGTCATCAGAAGCAAGAGATCTTCAGTAGATAGACAAATAGAAGGCTGGGGTAAAACTCTCCAAGAACTATTCGCCACACCCGAGCTCTGATCGACCTCGTTTGGGGGAGCTCGAGGCCTCAATAGCCAACAATGGACTTAGACATCTCAGCAATTAAGTGTCTGTATAAACTGCCGCCACGTCACCAACAATGTACAAGAGCCATGTCACTCTAGCGGTTATCACAAAGAATGTTCTAGATAAACACGCGCGTGTTCTGGTACACAAAGGACAAATTCTGTTACGCACATCAGTGCCAATGAGCCAGCTGTCCCAACTATCTCTCCAATCACCTTTACACGTGTCACCATATTATTAAACTGGGACGATTGTCCTGTTAGGCAGGTGTGACATGAGTCCTCACCACAATAGAATATCATCTTTTTACTTTATGGCCAAATATTTCTCTTTTAGTATAAATATCACCTTCTAACCTATATATGAAAAGAGATCAGATATTGGCTGTAAGAACTTGCTGTTAATTACTCTGCTCAAATTTTCACCTGATCTTA